AAAATCACAAATATAACTGCTGGCAATCCTCAGCATGAAGACAGTCCTCCTATATATTTTCACAACTGCCCTGACAGTAAAGTAGTTCCCTTTTGTTACCATGTGAAAACAAGTAAGGAAAAAAATTCATTAAGTCGGTTCAGTACCCTTGGTAGTCTTCCTTCATCCATAGTAAAAAAACCCTCAAAAATACAATAGTTGAAAAGTAAGTGGTATAAGATTAACTTGTTACATTCACTCTGGGATAAAGGTATTGGATTAAAAAAGGGGGTAATGAGAATATTAAATTAGTAACTAATGCACTGCAGAGTATCATTCCAGTTCAGAATATTCTATTTCTTGTGCAGCAGTTACTTGAAGTAAACATAGTGCCAAGGTTCATTATATGGAGCTCTACACTACATGTTTACTGTTCCATAACATTAGGGAACTGTTCAAAAATCAGTACAAAATCTACTTTGTCTGAATTGTTTAGCTTATCTGCCTGCATTTTAAGTGTATCAGGAGTCAATATCTGGTCCAAGTAACATTTTCTCTTTCAGAACAGATTTGGAAAACTAAAGTTCCTTGATGTGTGCTGCTGCATGGATCTGTAGTATTTTTAAGACCTATTTTTGTATTTTTAATAGGCCTGTGGGAATTCAGGGAGAGTAATAGTGATACCTGAAACTCTGAGCAATGTGGCTATGACATCCCGTAATATTAAAAAGATGGTAGCTTGTGAAAAACTGCACAAAACCAGAGACAACTGGTAAATAAGAAAGATGGAACTACAAAAAGTACATACAACAGGTACCCTCTGAAACCTGAACTCATGGGCTTCCTTCAAGGTATGAATAAAAAGTCCTATTTTCAATAGGACTTTTAAATTATTTATTACTGAAAACAAGCAAACTTATCTTAAAATTTTTAACATTCTAAAAAGCTTCTCTCTGAAGTATCTGCATGATATGGGCTTATTTTTTATCTTTTTTCATCTTCTCTTCACTGGGCAAACCAGAATTTGCTGTTTCCACATAAAGGTCATTGGTAGCCTGCAGGTCTATGCAAATCCTTCACACCAAACACTAATAACATTAGAATGGAGTGAGTGATAAAAGAACTAAAGAAATTAAGATTAGAAACTATTCTAAGTAAAAAAAGTGGTGGGGGCTAGCAACTTTTCAATACAATGGTTTGACTGTAGATGGTCATAACTTGTGTGCTTTTATAACTAAATTCAGAGTTATCCTGATGACCTGCAAAATCCTTCCAGGTGAGCATCGGAGAAGTTCAGTTTGGATCTTACAGCGTTACTTTCCTGGTATGTTCCTGTGTCATTCTTTTCTGAAGACATTGACCATATGATGATATTAAAATGGCCAAGCGTTTACAATTTCCAGATCTGCCAAATAACAAATCAACCTTTATAATTAAAGGTGACAAGCTGACAAGGAAAATGAATGTAAAATTGTATACGTATATGAATTTTTATGTCAGATTGCCGTCTGTGCACTTGTTTTTTCTTTGTCAATAGCCGAAGGCTCATTTTCCTGTACTAGAAGTGCATTTTATATCGAGGCCTTCAGACAGCTCCCCTTCGCCCTAGTGAATTTGCTGATTAATTTTGGATGCTTCTCTTAATTAACACCCCAAAGGAAGTCTAGATTTTCTAGCCTATATTCCATGTAAAACAAGTGAATCTGAAGAACAATGACCTAAGGAGACAGGCACGCTGTGTCCGAATGACATTACAAGAACATTGAATATCTCACAAGTCAGGACCTGGTCAGGCAATGCCTAGGGAAAATGTAGGCCTTTAATCAGGGCAGAAATGAGATTCATATTAGTCCAATTTCATTTTCTTTATTGCTGACAAAGAGAGGCTGGGATGGATGCCACCTGACAGTTGAAACATGGTGCTCCTATGCAGGAATGGGTGCCTCTGGCCTTGATTAATAATTGGTACAATTTTAACTTGCAGGCAGATAAGTTGATGATGGATGAGAGAAAAAGAGTGAAGTGATTTATTATAAAATTAGGATAAAATAACGAACTGGCTAATTGCACACAAGCCTCATAAAATGTAGCTGTGGAGTCAGAAGTGCAATGCCAGGCAACAATAATTTCCACCTCACTTTTCACAATGAGATCTTAAAGCAAAAAAAGATAGAGACAACTCTTATGGAGCTTCTATATGCAGAAAAAAGCCTTGCACATTCTTCTACTTCAAGCAAATAAAATACTGAGACTTATATTTCAGGTTTTATTATTACTGTTGCTAGAAAAGAGAACAGTAGAACTAAACAGGCCACATTAAACCAACTGTTGCATCTTCGTTAAAACTAATAAAACCTTGCAATTCTGTAATTTCTCTTCATATTTTATCAGAGTAAAAATATCTAAACTTATGAAGCTGAGATGTATATATGTTAAAATAAAAACTGAATTCAAAAAATCAACTTGCAAGGTCTATTGGCACCTCTAGAAATGTTCAACTCTCTTGGTAGCCATCATTCTTCTAGTTCACTTTTTGATGTCTGAACTTCCAAACCTGTGCTCTGACAACTATTTTAGAAGCTGAGTCATCTCTTTCTTGCTATTTTATGCTGCATATGTCTGGTAGAGTACAATTTCAGATTAAAAAAGTATGTATTATAATAACCACTGGCTGTCTGATAAAAATATTTTTTCACTGTTATGAATAATGTCATTATATTATTTTTTCTTTGCAAGACAGCTGCTTGATCACTTTCCCTTGTAAATGTTTAAAGTCCAATCTTCTCTAATTCCTTGAAAAGTTTTGCTACTAGCAGCTCTAAATAACATCCAAGAGATTTTTTTCTGCAAGCTTGACTATTAAAAAAGCTGAAATTACTAAATTAAATACAACTGCAGTACAGTATTGTCCCAATAAGATGAGTTCAGTTATAAAACTTAAAATTAATGTAGCATGGGGAGCTAAAATTTAATTTTCATGTAATTGATTTCTACTCTTCTCCTAAGACAAAAATATGGCAATTTCTCCTTATACTCCACGAAGTCTCCCATACTGAATTTGCCATGCAGATTAGGAGGCAGAATTTTCAAATAATAATTTGAAAATACTTTATTTTGATTCAAAAGCCACAATCATGGCTTAAGAGCATTAAACTTTTTCCATATACCTAAAGAAAAATAAAAATTACACATCCCTTAAACAAATATTAGGAGGCTTCATATCATTTCATGATTCACTCGAGTGCCTATCATGGCTGGCAATTTATTTTTTTGGGAAGATTTGAAAAAAGTTAACATGAATTAATTTCTAAAGTAAATTCTTAAACGACATCAAATCCACAGGAAACTGTGTTTCAAAATTTGAAGGTGTCTTTAACATGACATAATTTTATGAATTAGAGTAAACTGAATTAAGGCTGTTTCCAAATAAGAGTATTCACCATTTACTTAAATTATTTCAAACTCATGTCCCTGTTTTATCTTAACTAACCTCTTCAAGCATATCCTATTAAAAAATCTTTTCACACTGACACAATTAGAGTTTATTTGTGAAAAAAACCATATCAGGTAAAAGGTGAAGCACCATCCTTTTATGTCTGATTCCAAAATTATGAAATTTATAATCATGTCTGTCAAAACATGAAGGCTGATGGGATCATCATGACCATCAGAACACAGATTTGAGAAAAATGCTTATTACTTTGAGAAAGGAGATAAAATAGTAATACTGCCTGTGTTGTCCTTGAAAATTGCATTAATGTTTTCTCACCGTCAGTACCTATGTTCCTTCAATATTTCAGAGGTTTGACAGTTTAGGGTAAAAGGAAATCATCTTAATTAACTGTAGTGCTTTTAAGATCATGAGGTAAAAAATGCTACAAGGACTGACTTGTGCTCTGAGCTTCTGCTCTACTCGAGAAGAAGCAGCGTGACTGGCTATGACAAGGACACTCTTCTGTAAGCCACATTGTAGAAGGAGTTCAGGCCATCATGTCCCTTGTCTGTATGAGATTGGTGCCAGGAATGGACTAACTCCACATCTTGGCTCCCTTGCCTCTGATATCTTTGCTACTGCTGGGACTCACATGCCTAGCAGAGCTGAGATTTGCCATTTCTCCATACTGCGAACATGACAGCACCAGGGTAGCATCACTAATGTCTGAAGGCTTGTGGATGGAATAATAACATTATGCCAAAGGTTAGGGCAGCTGAACAATTACTCACAGATAAAGATATCTGAAAACAGCTTTAGGATCAGAAGGGAAATTGAAGTCTGTATTCTCTGTAGAAATAAAATTGGAAAGACAAAAGCCCAACTAGAACTCAATCTTCAACCACCAATGCAAAAGATAAAAAATATTTCTACAAATACATTAATAAGAAAAAGAAAAAAAAAAAAAGGCAAGAGTCTCCATCCTCTTTTGGGTGCAGATGGGAACATTGCCACCAAGGATGAGGAAAGGCCTTCTTTGTCTCAGGCTTTAACAAAAAGATCAGTTATACTCAGGGTACTCAGCCTCCAAGCTGGTAGACAGGGATGGGAGCAGAATAGACTCCCTGCAATCCAAGATAAAGTAGTTAGTGGCCTGCTGTGCCACCTAGATATTCACAGGTTTATGGGACCAGATGGCATCTAACTGAGGATATTTGAGGGAGCTGGTGAAAGAGCTCACCTAACCACTCCCGTTCACTTGTCCTCAGTCCTGGTTAACAAGGAGGTCCCAGACTACCGGCAGATAGCCAGTCTAACTTCCCCTACAAGAGAAGTTTGAAGGAGAATCCAGGGAACTACAGGCTTGTCAGTTGCGGGGACTGTTATGGAACAGATTATGTTGGGTACTATCACATGGCATATGCAGGACAACCTGGGGGTCAGGATCAGCCAGCATGGGTTTATGAAAGGGAGGTCCTGTAACATTACCCTGTGGCTGAGGGGGCTGGAGAAAAGGTGCTTAGCCTGGAGAAAAGGTAGCTCAGATCAGACCTTATCACTCTCTACAGCCACCTGAAAAGAGGTTGCAATGAGGTGCAGGTTTGTCCCTTCTTCCAGGCAACCAGCAACAGGACAAGAGGACATCGAAGTTGCTCCAAGGGAGGTTCAGGTTGGATATTGGGAAAAATTTCTTCAAATAAAAAGTGTTAAAGAATGTGAACAGGCTGCCCAAGGAAATTATGGGTTCACCACCCCTACAAGTATTCAAAAAACGAGCAGTCATGACACTTTGTGTTATGTTTTATTTGGCATGGTGGTATTTGGTCAAAGGTTGGACTTGATGGTCTTGGAGTTCTCTTCAAACCTTAATGTTTCTGTAATTCTATGAGTCTATTTACCACTTTCTTAGGATTTGTTTTCAGGATTCAGAAACTGGGTAATGTCTAGCATGGAACTTGTGTCTGTCCACTAGTGTTGTCACAGGTAGATAGAAAAACAAAAGGAGACAAATCTCTCTGGTCTTAAGAGAAGGTGGAAAAAATTAAAGAAATATGGTTTCTCCACACTACTACCTCCAAGAGCTGGCTATAAGAAGTCTAAGTGTTGGCCTTAAGTGTGAACTAGACTCAAGGAAACCTGCTTGAAAAATGAGTAGTTGTGAGTTATAGGGGTGTTAGTGAAGCAGCTTTTTAAATATATATGGGACTTTATTCAGAACTGAGTGATTCTAAGGAGAGAAAATTAAATCCTGTGAATGTTACCTATTCCTAAATAACTGAATTTATCCTTCTAAGAAGGCTCCCAGCCCTTCATCTTCAGGATACTCCTGTTCCTGTCATGACACTGCAGCAGCTTTGGGATGTGAGCACCATGCTATCAGCGTAGACTTTTAGATCAGTATAAGATTAATCTTACTGCAAAAATCTTTGACTGGGTCAGGTCTGCATCCGTGTCTGGCTCTGTCTGTCTCAGAAGACTATAACTTACTCTTCTAGCAGTTGCATTTGAACTGTGTTTTGTGTCAATGTGGGATAAAGAAACAAGAGGCCTGCATGTAATTTGGATTTTTCTAAGTATCGCATTTCAATCTAATGTACTGTTGTGTAATTAAGCCAGTAAGACTATATGACCAGCCCATTTCAGGGCTTGGTCTGCTATCTTTAGTCAGTGACAAATTCTGGTTTCCATTGCTTGTTCAGAGACGATAACAGTGTGATTTTACAGGTATAAGTAACAAATTAGATCAATTAAAAAGAGTAAGAGTGGCACCTGTCTAAGTGTAGGGTTGCACTAAATGATTTCCACATCTTTGTTTCCTGCAGGACCCTGCATTTGCAGCCTCTCCTCAGGAAGGTTAACAATGGAAGAGTTGTTTCTTAATGCTCATGAACCAAGAAAGCTGCCTTATCCTGCAGCCCAGGGATATGATTATAATCTCTGAGTGAAAACAACAGCCGTATTTTTCATCTCTATGTGTACAAATGATCCCTGTGTTTCATACAGTTCTTGACTATGGCATCTTGGATTGCCCAATTTGTTACAAGCCTGTATTGTGAGCTGGCTTTGTATAGTAGAGCTGAGCTCAAAGTCAGGTGCATGCCCCTCATTCTTCGTGTACAATTCTCCACATTTCATATTCTTGTAGACCTTTATAAAAGATTTCAAAGTTTTTACAATCTCAGAAATTTTCAAGTAATCTGATTTATTTTTTCTAACAGTGGAAGGGAAAGTATGCAATTTTGGAATTAAGAGAACTAGATTCATGATATTTCTATCCCTTCTATCTCTATTATTGTCTAATGAAACTTAATCATTTTATGATAGGCCATATTAATACAGAAGCTCCTTAAAGGCTGTGCTTAAAATGAATGATGAAATCTCTATTTTTATTATTGCAGTTAAAAGCTTAGAAGTACATCTGCAGTATATTAGAGCATGGGCTTCTTTGGACACTGGAGATTTAATCCAGTTGCCTAGTAAATATTTGACATTTAACACTCTTCCCTGTCAAAATCACATTTGGAAATCAAGCAAACAGGCCTTTTAGCAGCTTCAAGAGGAGACATCAGGCCATCCAAGAAGTCCAAGAGGCGAAAAGGATGTGGACATGCTCCGATTCCTTGCTCTCCATCGCTTTTATAGTAACAGATTCTCTGGTGCTACATAGTGGAACAATGCCCTTCATTAGTTGGCCCTGGAGTTCCAGGAAAAAAATAATAATGTTCCTCCTCCTGGAATATGTATTCAAGGTCTTGGAGACAAGTGCTTGTTTGTACAGTCTTTCCTCTCAAGTCAGAAGTATTTGGTTCCAACTCTTTCTCCTCTGCCTCTCTGGCTCCTTTGAGGTGTTGTAAGAAAGTCATACTTCTGCCAGAACAATCTTTCACACAATAATACAATGTCATCTCATTAGAATGGAAATTCCAAGTGGGAAGGAACCCAATACTTGATCTCACAAACCAGTCCGTACAATGTTTGAAGGAGAAGTTCCAGGTTTTGTGCTTTTGGGTTACTATTTAGTTTCAAAGTGAGAAACACCATTTGTACCCCTAGAGTTCTTCAGTTTAAATCACAAGTCCTATTTAGGCTGGATTGGGTACTGAAAAATATTTAAGCTAAAAATGTTTAGATTAGTATCTTAAAAAATACACTTTGAGTTAATGCAAGAGGATTAATATTCCTGTCATATTGCTCCTGAAATTCATCATCCAAAAAAAGAAGAACTTGTCACCCTCTTATAACATGTTGAATTAAATCCAAGAACTAAGTGATGTGAATTACCTTCATAATCCTAGAGCTCTTCCCTGTAAGTAATGGTGATCACACACATTGGCAAAGCAGCCCAGTAGAAATGGCTATACTGATGTCCATAGTGTGCCTGTACAGGGAATAGGGAAGATTTTTATGTAAAATTCTGTTAATCTATTAATGCTGATGGGTTTTCATAACAATTTACTATATGATGCACCAATTTGTATATGGTATTTGCACTGCAGTTGTAATCCCAGGTTTATTTGCACTCTGCAGACTCATGTAAACCTGTGCTCAGTATTATAGTGAAACAGGCCTGGTCCATGAAAAACATTGCAAATATGTAAAGACAAGCAAAATGGGAAAAAGCAATTGGGTGCAATATAGTCAAATAGTTCATGCCTTCATGCCTACTTCAAAGTGTTCATAATATAGTTACTCTTTCCCTGAGTGCTGGAAATATCCTCTGTCAGAAGATCAAATTCTGTGCAGGAATGCAAAGAATTATCCATTGCCACCTAGTTTTCCAAATTTCAAGAAATGTTCCTAATATGTCCCTGATTTTTTAATGATAATTTCCTGGTAACTAGATCTGAAAGGCAATAGCTCATTTGCCATCCTATTCTGAGGTAACATTTTAAATCATTTAGTTGGGATTAAATTTTAAGCAGAATTTTAACCAGAAACCTGTATGTGAAAGTCCCCAAACCCCATTAGTAATACTTTGTGTTGTCCTAGCAATTAGGTTTCAAACTTCTTATAAGTATCAAAAATTTAAAATATTTTTTATGTTCTCTGCTATAGAATCCCTGCATTTATATACTTTCCTTTTATTTAATGATGTGACAGAATATATTCCTTGTTTTAGAGATGCATTAATTAAAGTATTCAATTAAATTTTTTCCAAAATAAATGAAGTTGCTGAAAATGACCATGTTTGACACTGGTAGCTCCTCACAAAATTGATATGAGTTACTCTATAAGGTATTCTTTAGCTATCATTTAAAGAATGTTATTATTATCATTTGCTGAATTATTTAAAGCCATCTTCAGGAAAACTTAAATGACTGTATTTATTTTTTAAATAGAAGCTATTCATTGAACTTTGCTTTTTCTGTAAATTACCTGCTTTCCCTTGTCACATCAACATCCTTACAAGAGATGCTTATTCTCTTCACCCCATTACAGCAGTTTTTTTAATAAAGTCTCCAATTATAGAGGCGATTTCTTGGCAGCACATGCTATAAATGCAGGAACCTTTGAAAAAGGTTGAGAGGTGTAATAAATAGAGTTATGAAAATTTTCAAAAGGAGACCAGTAATATAAAAAAAAAGCCCCAAGAAATGTCTGCTGCTAATGCAATTGGGCTGGCTGGGTGAGTGTTTATTTGAAAAGGTGGATTTATTATGGGAGAAGGGCTGCAGCAGGGAGATGATTTTCCTCTCCCTGGATTAGCACTTCATGGTGGTCCAGGAGTTGGGCTCCAGCACCAGCCAGAACCTGCCCTGCCAATCCATTCTGTGCTTCCTCCAGCCCTGACAGGCTGAGTAAACACATAAACCTCTCCCAAGGAGGCCACTGCCTAAGCAAAGCAAAATTTCTATACCTTGAATCATAAAAAAGCACCATTTCCAAGAGGGGTCATATTCTTGATTTCCACAGGGCTAACAATTAAAATTTCCTACAAGTTAGTGCTGATTACGAAGGGATGGAAAACACCTCTGTGGCAAGTGAGCACTGAACTTTGGCCACTTACTCTTCCAGCTAAAGCAACAGGAGCTGCCCCACCACTTCCCTTTGTGGCTCTATTTGAATTCTCTTGATTAATGTTGTATGTGCAAGTCTATTGAGGCACGGCATTTAAAAGGATTGTTTACCATAGCCTTGTAATCAACCTGCCTTAGCAGCACCCTATTACCTGTGATAACAGGGCTGCTGCAATTTGGATCTGAAAGAAAACCACCTCAGATGGGCTCTCGGATGCTTTAAGTGCTAGTATGCTGCCCTGTTATCTTCATTTGTAATTTGTTTTCAAGAACAGTGATTTGCATTTCAGTTGGATTACACCTTTTAATGTATCACAAACGTAAAGTGGCTGCAGTGAAAACTCACATCTCCACTAGTTTTCAAACGATGCATTTGAGGCTTCAGTGGAGAGGATTACAATTACAATTAAAATCAAAAGCTTCTTCATTCTTTTAATGAAACATACTAACCCTTTCTATATGCAGCCTATCGTGGTGCTATACAATCATAATTATTTTTTTTTTTAATATGAAATAGCTGCATGTGCTCTGCCTTATCATCTACTACACACAAATGCCGTTTTCTGCAAAAGAGCAGATCCTGCACAGTGAATTCAGAGGACAATTTACCTTGACAAAATATGGAAGAACACACAAAAAGGAATGGGGAGAAGAAAAACCCACTGATGGGTTTGGGGCTGCTTTGATTTTTTGGGGTTTTTTTGGTTTAGGTTTTTTTTGGTTTTTTTGTTTGATTTTTGGTTTTTGGTTTCTGTTTTTTTGGGGGGAGCTGGGTGTTTTTATGTGGGGCATATATTAGTAACGGACTTCATTTTCCTACTGTCTGCCAAGATATGTAGTTGAAAAGACATACATTCAAAGCATAATTTTATTGGATCTTGTGTAAAATATGGGTTTGTTTTCTTTTAAGGAGCATTGCATGAATAAAAGACAGTTTGTTGGTTTTGTTCTAGTTTTTTAATTTTCTTTTTTTAATCCTGTTGTTTTCCCACAGCAGTAAATTTTCACTACTCTAAATTTAATTTTTTTGTGGTAATTCACAATAATTTACATCTAAGGCATCTTATGTCACTTTAGAAGGATTTGCAAATGGCAGACATTTATGTTCCTACTTGTGTTTTACTGTGTTATTCTTTGTCTGGAAAATGGTAGAAAATTCTTTACCCAAAAACTCAGATTTTTGGTGAGACTAAAACTTACTCAGATCATGCATGGCAGAAACATTTGGCTTGAGAACCTTTGCTGTGGTGTTCAAAAGCTTCAGCTCCAAGCCAAAACCTTGCCTGTGCTCAGGCAGCCTAATGGTTTATAAGTACCCTAATTCCCTCTGTTCCTAATTGCCAGGCTGGGACCACCCCATCACACCAAGCGCATCCTCCTGTCTCCTTGAGAGGTTAACATCTGTCCCAGGACAGAAGAAGTTCAGACTCCACTACAACGGGCTGAGGACTGTAATAGGTGCTACTTACCCTTCACAGAGGGCTGCTAAATCCCAGACATGAGCTGGGGACATGGGCAGAGTCTCCAGTGAGGAGGTGAGGAACTGGGGAAGAGAAGAGCAGTGTCATAAATAGTGTAATTTCAGCAAAACAAATGAGCAGGTTAATTTTTTCCTGTTTTTCAAAGACAAGTGAAAGTCCTAGAAGGTTTCATTTTCAGAAATGAAATATTGAAAATCAAGACTTCTAGTTTAACATTAACAGAGAAGTAGGTGGCATTCCCTTCACTCAGTTGAAATGCTTTGGAGGTAGCTGTCTACTGAAAGTATGTCTTTGAGGCTTTATCTATATTTATCAAGAAGAATGGGAAAGTCATGCTGACCTGAAGAAATGAGGAAAAATTGAGAAATCATAACTAACCTGACCAATATTTGGTAAACAAAAGGTTCTTGCCTTAATGGTAGACCAAAATAAAATTTGCATGCAGGTTACACACAGCAGTCACACACATTTTAGCAAAACATTATCTTGTTGTTTCTCTCCACCTACTCATGTCATTTTATATTCTGACTAAATTCAGAATTATTTTCCTTCAGGCAAGCCTTTCTTCTCAGGTATTCAACAGTATGGAGAGGGCAAGCTTAAAACAGATTGAAAACATCTCACAGATTACCTAAGGATCATAGCACATTAATGAAGAAATTATTTTTTTTTGTTTTCATGTAGATATTTTTAATATTCATCACAAACAGTATAAAGAAACCTTAAATCTGATGACCATAGTGATGACAGAGTGATTTACATATGTTATTGAGGTGTTCCAGGGGAACTGCCTTTCAAACACCTCATTCACTTCATTCATCTGTGTGAGATGATTTTCTGGTTGTTCTGCAAAAATGCATCATTGAACAGGTGGCTAGCCTGACCCCTTGGCACCAATACAGTGTTCAACAGCAAAACTGTGATTTCAAAAGTAAACAGAGGTGGTTTCAAAATTAGTATGAGATTTGAATTATTTTTTCTCTTTTTTTGTTTATTTTAACTGAGCTTTCCTCTTTTTTCAATTGTCATACATTTGTACTGTGATTGGTTTTACAGTGGTCACTTTCATAATTCTCTTTCATTTTTAGTTTATGAAAATATATGCACCATTTCATAAAGGGTCTTACTGAATTTGATAATCTGTACTAGGTTAGCTAATTTTCTCAACAAAGCTCAGTGAAAGAAATTATGTGAAAGCAATCAATTCAGTGGGAAATGTGACCTTGTTTTCCCTGAAAGCTATCTTCATGTGCCCAACTCATATGTCTTGTGTCATCTTCTCAAAGTTGAAACCTAAGAAAATCTGAAGTAGCCCATTTAGATACCACTGCAGGGCTCTGCTCCCCATTACTCACTGCACTTCAGATAAGGAATCTCTAGTCTTGCCCTCCTGCAAACTTGGAAAGATCTGTCATAGTTTTACCTGTGAGTGATGATCAGCTGCATACAGGCCCTGGACTTCTGCTTCTTAGTCACCATCCATGCCTTGACAGCCTGACTTGGCTTGGGCCACAAAGATTTTCCCTATGAAGTTTCTGTCCATTAGAGAAAGGAAGCCAACTCAGAATATTCTGTGATTCTATGACAAAATAGGATGCAATTGTAGCCTTCACGTATTCATTTTGAAGTCTGATGCCACTCTTGAAACTGACACCCAAGAAAATAAGAGTTACTCAGCATAATTTTGTGAAGGAATGCTTTTGTTCATTGGTAGTCCTGAAAAGCATCCAAAAGGGAGAAAATTTTCATGCCTTGTGTGTTCTTTTTTGGATATCAAATAAACCTTGCAGTGGATAGAACACTATGAGTTAAAATAAAAAATATTTGGCTTCATTTTTCATTATCTATAAGAGATAATTCAAAAGAAAAGCACTTTCAATTAAATAAACACATTTTATAAATATTATAATAATTGTTTTATTTTGAGGATTTATGGCTATGATTTTAACTAAAATGAAGATGAAACAAAGACATTTTGTACATTTCAACCTATCTTGCTCCATGTTTCATCAGTAGGTAAACGTTTAACACAAGATTCTTTACACAAAATTTAAATCTATTTCAAATGGATTAAATTCAATATTTCCCTGATAGACTATTTCTAAAATTGCCATCAGTCATTGTCCCCTACAATTCTGTTTTGACTAGCTCATTTCAGGTAAAAAAAAATAGTACCCGTGTTGCTCCAAATGAGAAAAGGTCATATTCCTAATGGAACTGAATATAAATCTAACATGATTTTCATGTTACACATTACATCATTACTACAGATTTATAGGGAGAAAGCTCATATATTAAAGACTGTAACATAGCGTTCTTTTTCAAATGCACCTAATTTTTGATGTTAGCACTAAATTTCTTCTTATAATAATATCCAAAGTATTTTTCTTTTATTGGCTCTTTCCTTTAAGTGAAGACTTCAGAGCTGATGAATATTTCATGGATACAAAAACACCTACAATATGAGGTTTTACCTACAAAATCTTTGGGGAAAGGGAGAAATGGCAGGAAGGTGCTGTAAGGACAGTTCTTTTAAGAAGACTTTGGAAAAGGGTCTCCATTTCATTTTCCACATCAATAACACCTTCTTCACCCCTTAATACTTACTTCCTTTCATTCCATTCTATAATACTGTTCAGTCACTTTCATAGTTTTCTTTGAATTAAAGTGTGTCTCCTGAGATGGCTAAACCATTTTAAAGCTAAAAATTTAAACAGAAAATTTGAACAATGGAAAAAATAAAAAGGACTTCCAGCTGTAGGAGCTGTAAATTTGTACAAATCTGTGATATTGAAATAAGAATCAGAAAAATATTCAAATGTACATTTTAAATTTATTTCTTCCATATTCTATTGTTCAGTCCTAATAGACTTGTCACCTGGATTTCAAGAACACATTTGAACTCAGGAGTATTATGGTTGAAAAAAATTTTGTATTTCACTAAAGACTGTTCCATTCCAGACATTAGATGAACTCTTATGAAAAAAAGCATGTAGAACTCTCTTCTGACTGATGATTGCTAATGCACAACAATGACACAAAACCAAAAATCAAACCAAAACCAAATGAAAACAAATACCCCCAAACACACAAGCCTAACCAAACACAAACAAACAAAAAAAAGCCATCAAAATCACAAAACGAAACAAAAAAACCTCACCACAGCCAAATTCAAGGACAATACAATCAATAAAACCTTTATCAACCTATTCCAAAGAAAAGTAAAGATATCAATCATTCAGTAAAATCCACTAGCAGCTCTTGTTCTTATACAAAGGTTTCTTAGGTAGTATGATGACTAGTGAAATCATAAAGCTAGAAAAATTGAGAAATAAAAAGAAAAAAACTGTAAATAAATCTAATCCCCCTCCCCTGTCTACAAGTGGTTTCATCCTTTGACACCTTTATTTGTCATTCTGTTCTCATACTTCAATGGCACACGGTAAAAAGTACTGGCTTGTCAGAAAAGAGCCAAAGTCCTACTCAAATTACAAATTTGTACTTACAACAACAACAAAAAAAGTCTGAAAGGCATAAGAATATTCCTTATCCATTTAAGCTTATACATTTTATGGTTACATACCTGAAAATTTAATGTCTAGGCCAAGACACCTTTCTACTAAGCTTCTTAAGGCAACCTTCGTATACTAGATTTTCTAAGCAGTCATTATTGTTGTTTCCTTTTCACCTATTTCTGAAGTGGAAACTGCATACTGAAGTCAGTGTTTTCGATATTTATCTATGAGCAGGAGAAATTGCACTAGATTCCTCTGCTTTCACTTCTTAAGGCTGTGTCAATCTTGTAAGACTTCATAATTAGCAGGTTCCCACCTTGCCAATCATGTCCTTCTTCAATGCACTGATTTATAGTGGGGTTTGGTTTGGGGGTTGGTTTTCTTTCCCTTTTTTAGAAAAGACTCCCTCATCTTGAAAATGTGAACTACATTTCAGTTTTCCCAAATGTATCACATTCCATTTCACTGAAAAGCATTAATTCTGTGTAAGTGAGCCTGAAAGTATAATATATATATCTTGCTAGAATTTCTCTTTGTTATTCAACATTCTACAGAAGCTGAGATTATCTGCCGACTTCACCAGCAAGAGATTTTTATTTATTTCCAGATAACTAGAAAAGACACTGAATAGGTCTTGGATCAGGAATAATCCTGTGTCAGTTCCTTTCAGGATTTAAATTACCAAATTATTTATTCTTGTCTATAATAACTTTTCTGATACTTCACTTGCTAAGTGTTTAACAATTTTACTTTGTATAATGAATATAGGAAAACATTTTAGAGATCTATTTCAAAAATTCAATGATGTTGGTCAAACAAGATTGAAACCTCATCATACAATTAGTACTAGATTTTTGTGACATGACTTTTTTTATACAAAGGCACCTTGAGTGTCTGTTAGGCTGCTATTTTTTACCTCCTTCCTAATTACATCTCTGCCTCTTCTATTCATGACTTAGGTTGTGGTCTGTCAACCTAAACGAAATTTTTAGAGAATTAGATTGTTCTGCTTAAATTTTAAGGTGCTCACTGAATGCTTGTCTTGCATCGCACCTCTCTGAATCTTCTCCACCACCGCAAATTGTTTTCAATATCAATACAATGGCAATTATCAATATAATTTATATGGTGGCGTAAAATTGGGTATGTCTTTTCCACCTGGTAGGGATTTTGTTTCTTAAAACTTTTATTTTCTGAAAATCACTTATTTAACGGAATTACAAAAACTGTGTATTTACAGGAAGGCAGTTGCTGTCTATGTCTTCATCAGAGATGTTTGAGACTTGGGAAATTACTTTGTCTTTGACTTTCTTTTCCTTTTTTTTAATAGATATTAAGGACAAAAACTTATATAAGCTACACATTAAGGTTAGCCTTTTAAGCTTTTAAAAACTGGGATATGGAAAAGGTTACCTTCTTAGTTCATTCTTTTATATTCCTGCTTTTCTTTAAGTATATGTCTTTCCTTTAAGTGTGGTAAAATATAAGATATGTCATAAAATACACAGCATGGCTGAGATAATGTTACTACAGGAAATGGTATTTCCTGACTTTCAAGTACTTGAAACTGTCACCTTCCTAACATATTTTCTTTATGTATGCAATTGCACTCTCATTTGTTCATTTTTCTATCTATGAGCACCCAGTAATATGCTTGAACATGGACAGATATTAGAAAAAAATGGACAGATATTAGATTTTTTTTTTCACTGAAAGACTAGTTAGGCATTGGAATAAATTGCCAGGGGGGTGGTGGATTCACCATTTCTGGAACTGTTCCAGAGGCATCTGAATGGGGCAGTAGAGGATATGGTTTTCAGGGTGATTATGGTGGTACTGGGTTGATGGTTAGACTAGATGATCTTGAAGGTTTCTTCCAACCTTGATGATTCTGTAATACTGTGAATAAATAGGGGTAATTTTTAAGAGAAAATCAGGTATTTCTACTTTTGGAGGTACCAGTTCTGGTTTTTTTTTTTCATTTTGTGCTCCTGTCTCTCTGCTGAATGTTGTGTATAGTTTTGATGCAAGATTACTACATTTTCACTTTCACATACGGCCTTTTGTGAGGCTTTATTCTCACATAGCCTTTTGCTGCAAGGACTTAGGTAGATACAAATGACTGTACTGAAATGAATTTATAACAAGTTGAAAAAATACTTGGGTATCCCAGTGTGACTTTAGCAATGGGGCTCGAGCATTTATGTCATAGGGAATCATAAAACAAACTTGATTGGAAGGGACTTCTGAAGATCATCCTGTACAAAGTTTTGTGAGAGAAAAGAGAGGCTATGAGAAGTGGACTTGGCAGATCTGGAGGAGAGACAAGTTTGGAGGCATTCCTACCCATCTCCAACTATCAAAAATAGAGAAAAGGGATCCTGTTCCTTGCTGTTGCATAGCTAAAGGAACAGAGGCAAAGGACACATGCTACAGGAAGGGAGTTTCCCACTGAGTATAAGGAAAAATCGATTTGTAGGAGAGTAATGAGAAGTACACACCATTACATTTACAAGTCAGCTGGACAAGTCTCTATCAATCTCTTCTACCTTTGAAATATTCACTGTTTTGAGTAGGGTGCTGGAGCAGATAACTCATAAGGGTCCTTTTTAGCTGTGTTACTCTGTGTTTCTAGTGTTCATAACCCAGTGGAGACCTTAATGGTTTGAAAGATCAGTCTGTTCAGCTGACAGGAATTCACCCTTAGGGTAGCCAACACACAGACCATGTTATATTTCATTTCAGGATTTGAGTGTATGGTAGGTAAGGAGAATGCTGACTGACAAAAGCTTCTTAGGCCTCTACTCTCAGTTTCTTCCCTTTGCTTATGACCCTCAACTTGTCTTTTGCTCTACATTATACTTCAGTTCTACATATACTTTTTTCTTAATTCCTTCTGTTGATGAATCACCTCTTCAGTGTCTCCAGCACTATTCACATGAGTAAAATTTTTAGGACTTGAGTGAGGTTCGTCCCCCAGGATTCCTGTTGGCCTAAATCCAAAATGTCTTTACATCAGTAATTAGATTTTCACTTGTATCTGTATCTCACCAAATAAATGAGACACTCATCTTGAGAGTGATATTTCACTACATATGCCAAATAAATGATAGGCATTGATAGTAGTGATCCCTTTGTCTCAAACACTTACACTTTACATCTATGACACATTCACCTCACTTAATTTTCAAGATGACAACAATGGTGGCCCTTGATTTACTTCTAGCAGAATTTGATAATGCTCAATTAGCCTTTTGCTCTAATAAATTTTTGGTGCTCATCAGTAATGCCCTCTAATTTACCATCAGTACCTTATGAGAAAGTAGTGAGTA